ATAGCTGTTTCCATGGCTACGTGATCACTCATTATTACACTCAGAGGAAGTGCATCTTGGGGGTGATTCAGTAGACTGGGTTATGATTTTCACAGCAGGACCTGGGAAATTCTGCATCAAATATGATCTCTGTTAATTTGCACTGCTTACGGCTTCAAAGACGCTCATTTTTACTGAAAGTACGAAATTTCAGATTCAGCCACATGATGGTTTCCACAGTCCTCTTGAGGCGGTCCCGGGGCTGGACGGAGCAGCTGGCTGGCTCTGTCCAACCACAGCCCCAGCTCAGAGACACTGCCTGGGTCAAGGGGGCCCAGCAACCTGGCCGGGGGCTGGTGTGAAGGACAGAGTCAGAAGTGAAGTGGCCCAGCCCCAGCAAAACCCATCTCCCTTGCCCCCCGGGAAGGGAGGACTGGACAGGGAAGGACAGAACCACTTCTCGACAGCCACTGAGTCACCCGCAGCCTCCTCGCACACGCAGCAGCCAGCGAAGACCTCAACAGCCTTTGACATCTGTGCTTTATGTGGCTTGAATCCCTGGGTGGTCGCCACCCACAGGCCTGGGGCCTGGTGCTGGGCGCTGCTGGTTGGCCTGTCTGAAGAACAGGCCTCAGAGGCAGGCACACCCTCCCTGCCGTGGGGAAGAGCACCCTGGGGAGCAGGAGGCCAGAGTGCGAGGCCAGCTTCGCTGAGTCCTCAACAAGAGGCGCCAGGCCCAACGTGACCACTGTGTTCCCGACACGCCCCTGCCTGAGCTCCCCCTCCTCCTGCCATCTTTCTTGTTAAAACTGAGATATAATTCACATAAGATAGGACACAATAACCCATAACCCCACACCCACCGCTTTGAAGCCTACAAGTCTGGTTTTAGGATATTCGCAAGGTCCGAGTTCGAGAACACGCCTGCTATCCCAGAGACCACAGACACTCAGCTTCCGCTCCCAGTCCCTGCACCACAACTCTCCCTCTGCCTCCGAGGAGGTGCCTCTGTGGACACTTCACACCCAGAGTCATCTACAAGTGGCCCTGGTGTTGCCTTCTGCACTCAGCACAGTGTTTTCAAGGCTCATCCATTCTGCAGAAGGTTCATCAGCACTTCATTCCTTTTTTGTTGGTAAATAATATTCCACGGTGTGGAATTTCATATGTGGTTTTTGTCCACCAGTCAGTCGATGGGTACGTGGGTTGTCTCCACTTCTGGCTGTGATGGATGAGCCAAGAACACGTGTCTTCGAGTTTCTGTGTCAGTATCTGTTTTTAGTTCTCTTTGATGTCCACCTAAGGGAGCACTGCTGGATGCACAGGCGAACTGCCAGATTCTCCCGAGTGCCTAGCCGACGGCTTCGCCTCCCTAGCCCGAACAGGATCCTGACATCACCCAGCATCTGCTGTTCCTCAAGAGTCCCCAGGAAGCTGCGCCACAGGAGGCATGACCTCACCAGCCTCGGTACTGGCCCCTTTCTGGTGTGTCTGCAGGTGCAGTGCAGGCCTGTGGGGGACACAGCGCCAGCCCGCGAGGGACACACAGCGACTCAGTCACCCCAAGGTGCAGATTGGGTCTGCCCCAGAGCCACTTAGATGAGGGGAAGAAGGTGCGTGGAGGCTGTGTGGGGAGGACGAGCAAGTGCAGAGGCCCAAGCACTTCTGAAGGCTGCGGTCAGCACTGCCCGCCAGCAGTGCACAACCAGGGACTCTGCCAGTCCAGCTGCAGCCACATGGACAATGTTTCCATCAATGCCAGACGCAGGCAGGAGTGGCCCCGAGGTGACAACGGAAAAATGGTCTCCACATCAGTGACCTGGCCGCTGCCTGGTGTCCCAGCACAGTGCGGGCCTCGCGATGGCGGTGGGACGACCTGCCAGGCACCCCTGGGGGCTCGCATGTCCACCACACCGTGCTCTGCTGTCATTGCTTTGGAGCACAGTCCTACTCACAGAGAAGGACATCTCGGTAACACGGTTGGCCATGTGCGGACGGACAGCCATCTCCGAGCACCCTGAGCCCAGCATGCCTCCCAGTCGCATGGTTTTCTCTCGTGCTTGATTTAACCTCAGCTGTGTTGAGCACCATGCACCTGGAGCTGTCTGCCCACCTCGAACACAGCCCAGGGGTAGAAGGCCAGGCAGTCGGGTTGCGCAAGTGCACCCCAGGACATTTGCACAGTGGTTCTCAGCACTGTGGCTAGGTGACCCACGACTGCATTTCCAGGTGCGTGCACTGAGCACTGGCTTCTGCAGAAGACCCAGCCCGGAGCCGGGCTTCAGAGCTGAAGGAGACTCGTTCCCGGGGATCAGAGCGTGATGGGCTGGACAGCAGGCGTGAGGATCGTGGCCTCAGGCTGCGGAGAGCTCGGTCCCTCTGCTGATCTGCCTGGCACCTCCCTCCTCTGACCCAGTGCAGGAGGTGGGAGACGGACACAGGTTCTACTTGAACGTTTGGTTTGGCAACTTGAAGGATTTGGCAGCTACACACGGGTCTGGCGGAGTGACTGAAATGCCACCGGCTTCTGAGCTCATCCTCCCTCAACCCCAGAACCGAGCACAGAGGAGACTCAAGGCAATTATCAAGAGAGAAGGTTCTGGACCATCGTGATTCCCTCGTGCATTAACAGGGATAAGACGAGGGAAGGCGGAGAAGTGAGGAGTAATCCAGGATCCCCAGGTCTTGGTGTGGGGCTGGTGCCCGTGGTTCTGCCTGGTCGGGGACAGAGGCCAGGACGGAGGCCAGCACGGAGGCCAGGACAGAGGCTCGGGCTGAACGTGTTTTATTCCTGACAAGCCTGGAAGGTCTCGGCCTGAGGCCGGGAGCCTCACCTGCAAGGCCTCCTCTATCCGTGGCTTCCTGCGGTGTGAAAGGCCAGGACTGAGAGAGTGAGGTGGCATCTGTGACGGGGCAGCCGTGACCCCACGGCCCTCAGTTTCTGACCCCTGGGCCTTGGTTTCTGTGCTGGTGACACATGAGCGAGAGGCAGAGCTTCTCTGGGGCTTCCTCTGCGCTGGGCACTCTTGATGGCTTTGATAACTACTGACTGAATCCTACCAGGGCCAACTGGGCACAGACGCCATGGTCCCTCCCACTGAAATAACCTGCCCCAAGCCCCGCGTGGCACCCCCGGGAGCCAGGGCTGAACCCGGTTGTCACACTCAACCTTATATTCTCATTTTCTATTTAAAGCTGAATCATCGATTGTACCACCGTGGTGATGCACGAGTAAGCAGTCTGTTCATTTTCCTGTGTGTGTTTAAAAAGATTCCAGTGTGGGACTGAGTGGCACTCTGATTTCCCCGCCAGTCTGTGCTCAGGGCCCACGGGCACAGGCCGACAAAGCACCTGGAGGCAGTGCACAGGGTGAGCGTCCCCATGGTGACGGGCTGAGCCAGTAATGCCCCGTCCACCCCCCTGGGCCTTAGCACCCAGTTCTGCCATGGCTTCTAAACGACTGGAAGGAACTACCGCCTGAGCCAAGCCTCTGCTGACCCCCATGACATCTCAAGCTGCCCTCGAGCTCTGCAGCAAACCTCCTGCAGCAGCACAGGAGGAGAGACCCAGTGGGCGGCTGCTGGTGGTGGGCAGAGCCCCATCAGTGGATGGATTAATATTCTATGGGGAAGGAGTCAGCTTTCAGGGAGTTCAGCCCCTTCTCACGTCTGCTTGCTTTTCTTTCTGCCACGAGGCCCTTGATGGCACAGACCAGATGCCATTGCTTCATCTGGTGATTTCTGGCCTCCAGAACCATAAACCAAAACAAACCTCTTTCCTTTATAAGTTACCCAGTCTCAGGTATTCTGTGACAGCAACAGAATGGATGATTCTCTCTGAGCTTCAGGCTCCTATAACAATGGCCTGCTTGAGGTCTCCACTCTCCATCCCTTTGGCATCTCAAACTTAAAATGCCCAAATCAGACATCCCTATCCCCCCCACCATCCCACAGACTAAATCTCCCAGGCTTCCCCATCTCAGAAAATGGCACTGTGCTGCCCAAAACCCTTTCCTCGTTTCTGCCTCTCGGCTCCCAGTGTGCAGTTCCACACTGACCCGAGCCACTCCATGGGCTCTGCCTCCTCCATTTTATTCTCCCCTCTCCAGTCAAAGCCACTCACTGCACTGGAAGAAAACCAAGTTCCTCCACATGGCCTCAGCCCTGAGGGCCTGGCCCTGGCCCACCTCTCCCTTCAGGTGGCCACCCTTCCTCTCCCATCCACGCTGCTGCCTCCAGCGCCCACTCCTGCCATGACCCTTCCCAGCGCTTGCAGGCGGGACCTTGCTGGGTGCCTCATGCCCACCCCCATGGAGCCTGCACCTCTGCAGGGAGGAGGGCGCGGTGCCACAGGCTGCTTGCTCCTTGGGATCAGCACTCACGGTGCAGGTTCCCGAGGGCCAGTCCCGGGGCCTAGGCTGAGAGGCTCTGAGCTCTTTGCTGTCCAAAGGGCCACATGAAACAAGTGTCATGTCCCCTGTTTGTGATCAGAGCAGCAGACACTTGTAGAACTTCTCGTCATTGGACAGTCTCCTGGGGAGCCTCGCTGTCTAACAGTAACAGAGTGTGTCTAAAAACCGCACCAGACATAGAACATAAACATTTAGGGAAAAGTAAGGAGGCCACCTGCATCAGGCGTCCTCTCATTACCGGTTCCCCCTCAGGTGCTTATTATGTCAGTTACCAGCTGGATCACTAACGAGGTGGCCGCGTCACTTTAAGGGTCTGGCCTTGATCATGGGTGTTGGTATTATTTTAAAATTTACTTTGGAGACCCCCCTGCTCCAAAATGAAAACATAATGAGCCCCTGGCTCACGTCCATCACACTTTACAAACATGCCTGCCACCCCGTACAGAAGGGAAGAAGTGACAGATTGACCGCACCATGAGGCCGAGCCAGCACAGCTTTCTGCTCCTGCTGGGCCTTCTGCTCCGCCTGCCAGACACACCCCTCCACCACGAGGCTGCCCTCGGCCCCTGGTCCGCCCCCCAGCTCCCGCCGCAGCCCGGCAGGCACTTACTACTGTGCGCAGTCGATGAGCTGGTACTCGTTGGACCTCTCGAAGCAGGCCTTGACGCCCTCGTCGTCCCAGAGCTTCTTCACGTGGTCGAAGAACTCCTGGGAGAGAGAGCGCAGGTGAGAAGGTGCCCACTGCCGCCTCCAACGCCAAGGTGCTACCTCGTGACAAATCCGCCCCCCGCCATGCTGCCAACGTCTGTGGTTCCAGAATGTTCCCCCAGATGGAATCCAGAAGCACAAAATGCCGTCACTATCTAAAGTTCCGGGCACTCAGGATGAAGGAGGTGAGTGGCCACCTCAGCGTGGACACAGGCTCAGGTTCTGTCTCGGCAGCTTCTCCTTCAGCCCTTCCCTGTGAGCCGCCAGCACAATGGACGCGGTCCACTTAGGGTAAAATCTGGCCACTAAGTCCATAAGACTGAAACCTTTAAATTTACCCTTTTTGGTGATAATACGTGTGTGTGTGTGTGTGTGTAAGTGTGTGTGAGTGATTTTCCGTTCACCCCAGAGCCAGGAGGGCCATGCTGATCTCACCCACCAAGGCAAGCCAGACCCCCTGAAAGCAGAGCGTTTCTTATCTGGAGGTGGGGGCCCACTTGTGAAGTCCCCTCCCAAGTTACCCAGGCTGAATGAACCAGAGCCTGGCGCAACTGAACACGTTAGGTGTGCCCTTCCCACCTTGGCACCTGACCCCTGCTGGGACCCCAGGAAGCACAGGACCACCTGTGGTCTGTGTGCAGGGGTTGAGGCTGCAGCCTTTCCTGCCTCCACCTCCAGCAGATGGCCAAGAATCAATCCTAAGTTCCCTGGGGGACAATAAGGGTTTGCTACATGTTCTTAGCCACAGTTCCATTCAAAAGTGGGTCCAGGTATTGTGAGGCAGCCTACTACTTAGGAGGGGAGGAGGAGGGGGAGGA